CGTTCCCCGTCCAGCTCCGTCCTGGGGGGCGGCGCGCACAGCCAACCGGTCGTCCCCCCGCCCCTCAGTTCTGGGGGGTGGCGCGCGCAATCAGCCGGTCGTCCTCCCGGCCCCCTCAGTCCTGGCGGGGAGCGCGCGCAATCAGCCGGTCGTCCCCGCAGTCCAGGTGCGGGGCGCGCAACACCATGTCTCTACTGGGGGGTCGTGCAACCAGCCCGCCTTTGCATCGACGCCCATGGTCTCGGGTGGGGGGTTGTGGAATCAGCCAGGCTCCGCGTCGCCGCTTCTTGTCCCCGGTGGGGTTTTGCGGAACCACCCCGCCTTGACGCCATCGCCCGCAGTTCCAACCGGGGGCGTGCAGAGCCAGCCCGCCTTCTCCCTACCGATCGCTGTTCCTGGGGGCATGGTGCGGAGTCGGCCCGCATCCGCGCCTCGGCCCGCTGTTCCTGGAGGGGGGGGTGCACAGCCAGCCCGCCTTCCTCTCGCGGCCCGCTCTTCCTGGCGGGGGCGTGCGGAGTCAGCCCGCTTTCGCTCCACGGCCCGCTCTTCTTGGTGGGGTCCCGGCCGTGCACAGCCAGCCCGCCTTCACGCCACGGCCCGCTGTACCTGGTGGGGGGGTGCGGAGCCAGCTCGCAGCGAGTACTGGCTTCCCCATCGAGGTGGGGACTGAGCCACGTGGCGTTTCTAACTATCCTTTCACCCCCCACTTTAACATGCCACCTACTCGGAGAAGAAAGCTGCGCTCGTTGCCCCCGCTGCATAACTTCAATCTCGTCCACTTCAAGCGGCCCATCACAACTACGAGCGAGCACAACCTTTTCCTGGAACTGTACATGAAGCATGCAACCAAAGGCGGGACGAATTACAGAGCCGTTCTGATGGAGTTCAACTCAGCAGTCGTAAGGCAACTCTGGGGCCTCGCGCAAGGTGGTTATCAGCAAGCTATAGACAGCGACCTTTACTTCAAGGACTACCGCGACATTACACGCTACGAGCGCCAGCTTGTACGCTCACTCCTTTCGCGCGAAGCGGACAATACAAGCGTAGCCTTGAGTTCCGCATTCGAGCATGCTAGCACGTCTCCGACAGGGGCGACCGTGACCCCTCCAAGCTCTCCTTTTCCTCCTCAGACGTTGGGCTGCGGGCCTCTAGATCAGGGGCGGAGCAATATTGCAGCGAGCCCGCTGGAGCAGGTCGATCCGTCCAGTGGTGCGCCGGAGAACCTTGTTCAGCAGTACACCGGTCCGCTTGTTGTCCGACCGCTGGGAGTGGAAAGCTCTCGACCGAAGGCGGGGAATCAGGGCGGTAAGGGAGTAGGAAAGAAGTGTAGAAAATGCGATCCAGATGGAAGTCTTGGAATAATGCGAGGCTCGGAGCATGATTGTCCCTATAGCAAAAAAAATACGCATAAGAGGAAACGAGATTAGCAAGACTTATTTGCTATTTATCAGGTTCCTAGCATCTGAAACTGAATTGGATTACTTGCATACAGCTGTGTTTGTGATTTATGGCATGCCAAACATCAATCTTGTGTCGCTTGTGATTGATTGTAAGGGCCGTCGATCCCGTCACTACATGTCATGGCACCCGAACAAAGGGTTGTTTTCTTTCCCCACGACGTGTATGACTCAGTGACGATGCCCATCCATCTATTGCATCAAGTAGACCAGTGATAACTTGGATGTTTTAACGAAGAATGCTTATCTACGACTCTTCTTAATGTCTTAACGGGTATCATTGTACTCCGCACCTATTGCAAGACAAATCGAATTGAAACCTTGTGATGCACGCGCTAGCATAGGTTTGCAGTACTTTGCATGAGGCATGAACAATCAAATAATTGGGCCTTACGCGTGCGGCATGTCAAGCTGATCCGTATTGTGAGTCAGTGTACGTGTGCATACAATAGCCGACAATGTGCCTATTATGACGTACGTACATATACCCGTGTTCGTCTCTTGGACACACATGAAAATCAGGTCTGATTACCTACCTAGGTATATGCAATGCAAGCCTGCGACAGTGCAGTCACCAGTGTACCGATGATCAGCCCGGGCCGGTCGGGATGCTGCCGCAATGCAAATTAGAACACGTTGGCACTTGCCGGGAATCATGGCGACATACTCAGAATTTTTAAGTTCTACTTTCAACATCGATAAAAGGCAGCCCGAATCGCTGCTTGATATGCCCGAACAATGTATCGAAAGTGGACAGAACCTCTGAACAGTTCCTCTTCGGAACATGCATTTGCGGTAAAATAAACTGTAGCCGTTGCGGCTGCGCCGCAACAATATCACGTTGAGGAACCGGAAGGGGTCGGGCCCTGCGGGCCCGACCCCTTATCGCCTCCGGCGATGGCCGGCCCGACCCCCTGAATTTTCGCCTCCCTCCGGTACATGCAGCATGCCAGGGCCCATATGAGGGGGCCGGGGCCGCTGGCCGGTGTGCGCACCGCACAGCAAATCCGACATCCTCGCCTTTCTGCACTTTCTGACACATTGTATGTACACATCATAACGGCCACTGTCAGGCAGTGGGCACCGAGTCCCGACCCACGATCCGGCGCCCCCATTCCTCACCGGGCAATCGTTCCTCATGCTTGTCCTACTTGCATTTGCCCGGGGGACGGTCCAACTTGCAAGGTGCACTGAACCGAGTACCGTAGGTTGTGTGCCCTACGCAGGGTTGGCAGGCACACGTGACACCGGCGGACACCGCCCTACCTTGTAAGTTGTGTGTACCGGTAGTATGTACCCTGTACCGACTCCGGTGCCCGGGGGCCAGTATGGGTTGTCGAATGCAGGATAGGCTGGATAGCGGCAGGCCGCAGCCGGCTGCGCTGGAAAATCATCGTGGGAAGGGTGGGGTTATCGTAAGGCGACTCGAAGTTAAATCCGGTTTCCGGTCCCCGACCGACCCAAAATCCGAAAGGATTTTGGAAAAAATAATAAATATAGTCAGTATTTTGGCCAAAATTTCCCGATTTTGGGTCATTTTGGATTGAAAATAATGAAATCCGGGCCAAGAAATGAAGTTTTTGCCCCAAGAATATTCCATATTATTTCATGTCTCAAGCATACAAGCAAAAAACCATCTATTTTTTCTTCCCGACCGACCGACCCACCCAAAAGGGGGTAGGACCGGAACCCGGGAATTAAATCCGACCCGCCTAAGGTTTAGCCCGGGTGAGCTAGGGTGAGAGGGTGAGAGCTCGGTGAGAGGGTGCAGCGCAGGTTGACATTAGGGGTTAAGATTTCTGGTTTAGGCTTGTTTCTGGTGTGGTGCAGCGTGCTCATATTTGAAGCTCAACTCCGCTCAAACGCGTCGACCGTCGTCGGACCGGGCTCCCGCAGTCGAAATCTCGGGGCCTGATCCTCGGGGAGTTGGCGGTTCACTGAACCGTTCAGGTGGGTTGAGCGTCACCGTTGGCGTGACGTATGCGTGGAAGCCAGGCCACGTGAACAGGCCACGTGACAGGTTGAATAGCACCCCCAAACTAATTCTGTGACACCAGATGTGGTACTGCTACTTGACCGACCAAGGGCAGACTCCAGACCACAGGGATTGCACTTTTAGTGTCAAGATTGAGGATTGCTATCTTGCATGGGCTGCTCACGTGGTGCATTGTAACTTGCGGTGTTGCAAGCTAGGTAGGTGCCTGGTGGTTGCTTTTCAGCAGGATTTGAAATCTGCCCAGGGCGACTTCCTCGTGCTCCCTCGTGTCTAAAAAATGAACTTCTTCTCTATGTACCTAATTTAAAATGGTGATGTCATCCTCGACCTGGGCTCGTCTTTTGCCCTTTGCAAGACGCTTGCCTGCTGGTCAGCTATTTTCCGACCAGCTCCACTCAGCTGTTCACATCGTCATTATGTAGCTAAAGGCGCTCGTAGAGGCTGAGGCTTCGACAGAATCCTTGAGATTGGCGGGTTATAAATATCTCCTGAGGTGCCTTTGGCGGCATACCGTAGAGTAATTTCATAGGCACCAAAGTTAAAGTTGATGCAATGCTACATACTTTAACATTGTTCTGCTTCGGTGAGCTGAGGGGGAGCTGAGTCTACAGCGATACACGAACGATACAAGCTGACACACGCAGGGCTGGAGGTTTTGATAAGGGGAGCTTCAAGCGGGTCATGATCTACTTGAACGTCAGGGGTCGTAAGATGCTTCTTGGCTAGGGTCAAGCACTGCCTGCGAAAATGGCGGCATCACCAGGGGCCAAGGCTGAGGTCAGCGATGATGAGAGCGGGCCCAAAGCGAAGCGGGTGGACCTGCATTGCTACCAAGGGAGCTACACCGTGCTCTTTGCCCGGCTAGCAATCATGGTGCGTTCAGCAAACTCATCATTGTTGAGAGGCTTTTCTGTAGTTCTGCTTTTTAGCACTCGCGACATCAAGGTTGGCAGCCACTTTGACTGCTGCAATGTAAGAGGATACCTGTTGTAAAGAGCCTCTGTACTTTCTCAATTGAGATTCGCATACGAATGTTGTTTGCACCATCAAACGGCCGTACAACCAAGTCCAATCGTTCAGCTCTGGTTCCATCTTGAGGCAGGCCGTTATGGAATGATATGTATCATGCTCGCGCATCCCTATGAAGGTGCTTCAATTGCAGCGGATGAGCAACGATGCGCAGCATCTCGTATGCGTCGTTGGAGTTCCTTTCCTCGCTGGACCACTTAGACAAAGCACGTACGCAAGGGGCAAAGTGTAACAGGGTTTAGTCTCACAATTTAAGCCCGCTAAGGATGCCAGAGGGAGTTCCGCAAATGCCGCAAACCTCAACACCACTTGGTTGTACGCTTCTCGCGGCCGTTGCTCAAAGCGCAAGCTGAGCACACCGGAAAATTTCCAAGTCACCATTACTTTCTGTATGTGTGCCTGTTTCGTAACCTGTGTTCCGTAACAACGCCGGTTTGGCTGGTCGATTGTCGTGGTTGTTTGTACACTCGACTCTATCCATATTGTTAAGGAGCATTCTTCAAAGGGCCATGTTGCACCTCGAGTCAGGTCGAGAAGACCAGAAATAAGATTAGATCTGGGAGCCTATAGTGCATTGAGGTCTGCAGTGCAACAAAGCATTTCGTCAAGTCTCCTCATTCAATTGAAGAGGTTCCAGCACACACGTCCTTGTTGTGGCCGGACGAAAAATATTTGAAGTCTGAAGAGTTCACCAACCTCTCTTCAATCGGGGCAAGCAAGTGCCGAATGGCAGGACTTGAGACTATTCGCTCTGTTTCCTGAAGAGCTGCGATCGCCCCCAGCTGCGCATTCCGAATGTTCTCTTTGCCGCAGTAGTAATCTTGCGAGAATGAAAGTTGGCCAGCAAGATGCGGTCATCTTCATAATCCAATTTGAGGGCCTGGCTCATTGAGGGGGGTGGACTTTAACGGGACCCACAATTTTGGATTGAAGCACCGATTCTAGTTGGGCTAGGATTTGTGAAGCCAAGAAGGGCCGACTTAGGGACGCTCACATGTAGATGTAATACCAGCTGTGTTTCAAAGGGTAAATCAGAGCGGACCCTTGAAACTTGGCGCAGACGAAAATGGGTGCATGTGTCAGCTTCCACTGTTCCAACTCTGAGGAAGTCGCTTTAAGGTTCAACGAACCATCTGAGCTGAGCCTAATTAGCTGAGCTCATTCCATCTACCCGGATCCTGAACAAAGTGGCTAGCGCTGATGCGCTGAGCTGATTCCAGCCACAGTTGAGCGTTTTACTGGTCGGAAGGATGACATGAGGGATTGGACATTCACCAATTGAGGTAGAGCTGGCCCAGGGAACCAAACCACCTCGCGACTTTTACATTTGCAAACTTCCAAAGAAAGCCTGAAAGAAGCTCAAAATGGCGCCCGTCCTCCCTACACGATCTATGTTGCTGTAGTCCAGGATTTACCAAGCTCTTATATCTGGTCCGTAAAGACTTCTACTCACGCAGCGTGCACCTCACAAGCGCTAACATCCGACGCCTACCTTAACCCGATTGCAACTTTTCTTGTGGCAGACATTGATGGCGGTCGCCATTTGCCTGACGACGCTGGTCACGTTCTACTGGACGCAACGCAGCTCGATGGATGCCGTTCGAGGGCTTGGATACTCCTTGCGGTAAGGAATCTTGAATGCAGTAAAAGTCCTCGAGTTCTTGTCAAGACTCCTGAAAAAGGTCGCAGAATTTCTGCTTTAGTTTTTACATATAGATGCAGTTTGATGGCTTGGACGTAACCAGGCCGTTCACTGTTCGTCAATCAGTGGCACTTTTAAAGCCTCTACAAAGCTCTAGCCTCGGCACTTGCGCATCAAGGGCTGAGCTATTGTTGCAACTAGCAATCTGACCTTTTACTTGTCATAATCTGTCGCTACGGTTTTAGAAACTGCAAGGTCTGGAGGTCATTTGAGGGCTTGTGTTCACTCTCTGATAGATACCCCTTCTGATATGCACCCCCCCTCTAGCCTAAACCGTAGTGAAGGTAGCCCGCATATGAGATCGCTTGCTATTACCGCTGCTTGTAACATTAGCATCCCGAGTCTACTACTTAGTGTTTTCCCTTGTGAGTGACCAACTCGAGCAGTTAAAGGTTCTTTCCCGTGCAGCCCGAACCTTCAAGTCAGAAAACTGTATCATCTGTTGTGCGGACCGTGCGAAGCGTCAAAAGTCCTGAAGGCGGACGCGTCTTATCATCGAAAGTTTGTCCCTACAATGGACAAAGCGCTCAACTTCGCAGGAGTAACCATTTATATCCAACCATCACTGCCTTTCTTTAGGTACGACCTGTTGGACCGGTCCATCCAGCTCATGAACAACAGGCTGAAGGACCAGAGCGCAGTGCTCCAAGTTGCCGGGACCGCCGTGCACAGCCAGTACCAGACCTCCGGGAGTTTCTTCGGCACCGAGGTAAGGGGTGGCGGGTGTGCTTTACGGGTTGAGGGATCTGATTCTGTTCAGCCTCTGTCGACTGGAATTGAATCTGATGTCCTTCCCCTTCTGCGAGGTGCGCTGTACACAGCCGATTTGAAGTCCTCCGCTTTGTTTCTGAAACCGGGGGCGGTATGCCTACAGATTTGCAAGATACATAATCGTGACAGGTTGATGAATGGATTGAAGCAGCTCGGCATTTTCGGAGTTGAGGAACTGGTTGGGGCACTTGACGGCACTTCCTTTGAAACAGAGAAGCAGTTGTGCATTTCGAGCTCGCTTCTGAGCACCAAAAGCTTGATCAACTCTGACCCCCAAATCTCAGCTGCCGTCTTGAACAAAGCTTTTTCGGCTTGTTCGCTTGCAGCTGGACTGGAAGACCTGGCCCCTAGTTTCGAACAAGCATCACGTGCGCAACTTCGGTCTCGTGCTGGAGAACGGGCGGTACCAGTACACCTACTCCCAGAACACCACAGGGGGGCCGCGGTATTTCAGGACGTTTGCGAATACCAGGTGCGGTAGCTTTTCAACTTTGAAACCCTCTTGTTCCGTCTTGTTGGTAGTCTAGTAGTTTGACGCTTAACCACTGTAAAGTCTTTTCTAGCCGCGAATAAGGGAAATTCTCGTTGGGACGGTTTGCAGATGTTTGGTGGCGCTTGCTGTTGTCCCCAATGCTTTTCTCCTTCCGTTCATCAACTTGAATAAACATGCGCAGTGAGCCGTAAAATCCATTGGGCGATTTTCACATCTATGACCGAAATGAGAAACAGAAGACTAGAGATTGTATGGAACCGAATTGCTTCGCAATTTGGAACTCGCATGACCCCTTCTCTGCATGCTGCTCCCATCTGGAGGTTTCTTACAATTCTTGACAGGAACGGCATGAAGTCCTAGCAGATTCATCTAAAGAATCTTGTCATTATTAGATTTGGATTTATATCACCCCGTCTCTCCCCCTTGTGCAGCATTCTGTGGGCTCATCCACAGAAACTCTGGACGAACCCGGCATAAAGCTATTCTTGAACTTGCTCTGAATGCTGACAGCTACAAATCCTCATGGCAGCGGTTGTCTCACCTTCTACATGATTGCCGGGTTACATTCGGGCGACTCCTGTCGCTAGACAAAAGCGGGATGACCTTTATAGAACGACTAGATATCCACAGAATGCCGCCCTCATGTCAGCGCCCGTCCCTCTTTGTGCAGTGTCGCTCAATTCCAGCCCGAGACCTCGTACATCGAGTCTCTCGACAAGAACGGCAATCCCATCGGAAAACCCCAGCTGTACAACACAAACGTCGACTTCCGGCAACGCGCGTACTACATTGCCGCGCGCCAGGGATCCCCCGACAGCATCTTCGTCAACCTGCTGTTTTCGATCCAGTCGTACCCGGTTCTGTTGGTGGCTGCGCCGGTGAAAAGCAACGTCACCAACGAGACGCTCGGGATCTACACGATTGCGACGACCCTGGACGATCTGAGCGCTTACATATCGGGCCTGGACCTGAAGGGCGGTGAGTGTTTCTGAGCCGTTCCTTAGGAATTTTAAGAGCTTTGTGAGATGTCGCAATTGCTGGACGACCTGAGCGCTTATGTATTGGGCCTGGATCTGAAGGGTGGTGTGAATCGTCCGATGGAAGGTTGCGAAGCTGTGGGAGCCGTCAGATGACCCGGATTGACGACGTTTGACGACCTGAGTTTTTATAAGTCAGGCCTGGAGTTGAGGGCAGTCGGTCTCTGTGAGGCATTTCTGGAAGAGAGGTATGCACAATGCCAATCAGATAGGCAGTAGGCGGTATCTTTCACCTGCATCAGAGAATCATATCTTGAATCCCGAACATGCTTGACAGGTTTTGGATTGTGTGGGCCTCAGGAGAACGTGCACACTTGTCTGTGATGGCAACGCATAGACAATCAGCGGTCGCCGACGTCTTTTGACGTTCGTTTACCCCAACCAGAGGAAGTACTTCGGTAGCTCGGTTGGCTTCAAGGAGCGACAGTCGACGGGCTTCTTGTCAGCACCGCAAATACCAGAGACGACCCTGAGAATGCTGTGTCCCTGCTTCGGTGTCCCAAGAGCGGATCGGAAACAAGGTCAATTTCTGCTTCCCTGAAAGGAGAGAAGGGAGATTGTCAAATTCTGTTGCTTCTAGCCTGTTCTACACGCAAGAACTCGAGTGTCTCATATTTTCAGGGAGTCTCTACTTCAAGACGATGGACAATGTTCTGGTCGCTGCGGCGAACTCGAGCAGCGACTTCCAGTCCAACACTCTGGGCGCGCTCAAGTTCGTCAACCAGTCAGACAACGCTCTCATCCGGGCAGCCGATGCGTTCATCAGCAAGACGTAAGTTCTTGCGTGGAGGGCATTTACTCCAGTAAACGGCCGCAATGCTACTGGTAAAAGTACTCGTCCAGAAGTTAGTTGGAAGTGAGGCCGATCCTTGAGTTCGTCAGTCACAAATGCGTCTCGATCGTTGACTGATGGGTCTTGTAAGGCGACTTGTCTTTATGTTCTTCTTTGTTTCAGAGTCCTCATTACATCTGACCTTGCCGTCTCGGCTGATAATGCGTTGCTCCGAGTAATCTCAGTAACTATCAAGCATTGGCGAGATGAGAAACGTTCGTAAGAGTATAGCGGCGTGTTAGAAAGGACGAGGCATTTCAATACGGACATGTTCCAGATTCTGTTCAAGCGCTAGACTCGATCCGAAGTGAGACTCCCTTAAGAAACAGAAGAGGAAAGAAAACACTTTGTCACAACGCCGTTCTTTCCAGGTGGCCCCCCGACTTACTGATGACAACGCCCGCGATACATTCCAATGTGAACCTTATGGGGAGACTTTACTACGTCGACACTCTGCCGCTCTCCAACTACAACTTCCAAGTCGTGGCAGTGCTAATGATTCCAAGGTAAGCAAAGCAATCCGTTTCGGTCTACATCTCGATTCCCTAACTTTGCTTCAACAACTTTTTTCAAAGCTGCCCTCCTTTAACAGGGGCATTGATGTCTAAGCTGTCGCTGCGTTTTGTGGATACAGTATCGGCCAACTTTGCTCTCATTGCCCGACTTGCGACAACAGATTCAGCAACCAAGGAGCTCTAAGATCGCAGGATGCATCAGCTCCTACACTCTTTAAGCGCACCTGGTCCTTGTCCGTGGTAGTTGATTCGGGGACCCTGCAAAGCGTCCCAGCACGAAGTTGCCAGAAGCGTCTCGGAGCGGTCCACAGCTATCTGATCTCCACGCATTGCAGTGCTTGGTTTAGGCGATGGAAAACCTCCCTTTTCAACCGAGTCCTATGGTTCTCAGCTTCATAAAACCTCCCGCTGATCCAGAACTTGCTGGTTAGCACGATGGTTCTTCTCAGCGTTGAATTGTTGAAGCCCCATGAGAAGGGCAGCGCGGAGGCACTTGATCATCAGGTTATCAGATCCTCACCTCCGCCTAGAAGTCATGGGGTCCAAGTTGGTGGCCCTTGCACATCATTGTTCTCAAAGATTGCAGACTTAAAACTCAACATAAAACAAGCCAGTTTTCCGAAGCCCGCGCGAAGTCGAAGCATTTGAAAAGTCCATGAAAGTTGCTCCGTATGTTTGAACTTAGATTCCTTGATCCAAACACACACAAAGCAGAGGTCTCATATGCTGGCGCTGCAGACTGCCCGAGCAAACAAAGGTGCTCAAACCAAGTCTTTCGAATCCACTTTCCTCTATATAACCCTCCATAACCCGGATTTGTTTGCCACAGGCAAAGCATAATGGGTCCCATCGACGAGCGGCGCGGCCAAACTATCCTCCTCCTGGTCGGCCTCTCGTGCGCCATTTTCGCCATCGGATGCGTCCTGGTCTTCTGCCTGACTACACGGGTTTCGACGGAGGTGCGCCTGAAAGCGGAGCTCGGCGAGGCGAAGGCGCGCGCGGAGGCCAACAGCGAGGCAAAGAGTCGGTTTTTGAGCAACATGTCGCACGAGCTGCGGACGCCGATGGCTGGGATCCTAGGGTTGCTGGACATTCTGCTGACTGACGAGCTGAGCCCGGAAAATCTGGTGAGTGACTTTCGGACGCTCTATGATTCTACTGGACGTTCTTTCGGACGCTTATCGATCAGTTTCGGACGCTGTGTAACACCGATGGCTGGAATCCTAAGGTTGCTGGACATCCTTTTGACCGATGAGCTGAGCCCAGAGAATTTGGTGAGTGACTTCGGACAACTTTCGGACGTTCTTTGAGGCGCTCGGACGGCCTTCGGTTGCTTTGTCTGCGTTTTAAGGAAGTTTCGGACAGTGTTTGGACGCCGATGGCCGGGATCCTACGATTGCTGGACATCCTGTTGACCGATGAGCTGAGCCCAGAGAATCTGGTGAGGGACTTTTAGATGCTCTTTGACACTACTGGACATTCTTTAGGACGCTTTCTGGTCAGTTTCGGACGCTGTTTAATCGCCTCTGGCCGGGATCTTGGGATTGTTGGACATTTCGTTGACTGATGAACGAAGCCCAGAGAATCTGGTGAGTTGCTTCGGACGCCTTCGGACGCTCTTTGACGCCATTTTGAGACGCACTTCGGGTGCCCTGTCTGCGTTTTAAAAGCAAATCGGACGGTTTTTGGACGGTGCTTTGGTGGGGACTCTGGGATTGGGGGACATTCTATCGATCGCTGGCTTTCAGACGCTCTTTGACACTGCGGACGTTCTTTACACGCTTACGGGTCCCTTTTCTGCCCGTCATACAAGTTTTGGACGCTGTTTGGACGCTGATGGTGGGCTCTTGGGGCTGCCGGACATTCTATCGATCAATGAGCTGAGCCCAGAAAAGTTGGGCAGCAAACAATCGGGTGATGGGCGCTTCGTAAGCGGACGTAGACGCTTGTGGAAGTGCCTTTGACGCTTTTTTGGGGGGTCGTGGGTGTTAACCGTTGGGTATCCGGCCAACAGATTCGCAGGTTTATGCTGACCTGGCTTGTCGTTTCTTTGAAAGTGTGAAGCGAGTCCCGCATTACGAAAGTGCAGCGTGCTGGAAGCGAAAGCTTAAAAGTCCAAAGAGCACATGCAGCGCCCCGGGGGTCCACCTCTTAGCCCCCTTGAGGAGTAAGGACATTGAGATTTATTTAAACCATGTCTATACCGAGTCAAAACCAAGTTCATACCAAGTCTAAACCAAGTCTGAACCAAGCTTAAGTCAAGTGTGTACCAAGTCTATACCAAGTCTAAAGTCAACTTAATCTGATCTGGCTCCTTCTGCAGGTGAACATATCGCAAATCCGGCAGTGCGCTACCGGGCTGCTCGGCCTCTTGAACAACCTTCTGGATCTTGGAAAGGTCAGTCTCTTTTTACGCTCTCATCTGCCGCCCAACGGCTTCTTTCCATCTTCGTCTGAGCGGCCTGCCAAGTGTGGTTGAGACATTGGTGTGCAAAACTCGGTCTGCTGTTGCGTTGATGTCACTGGATTAGTGGACACAAAAATCTGGCACTTCCAGCAACAAATGTGTTATTGGCACGCTCATGGTGTCCCCAGAGAACTGTCGACACACAAGGCTTGTTTGTGCCCAAGAGGTACCAGACAGGTCCAAGATTAGAAGGACAAAATCTTAGGGCGACGTACAAAACTTGGAAGACCGCAGGATATTGTCACGTTCCGGACGCCTCTTTGTTCGTCATTTGGAAGTACCTACGGTAGCATATGAGGCTTACAGGCATCTTCTGTAAACCGCTCTTGTGAGTTAGCGGTCTGGTCGCACTTCAGACGTCTAGGGGAAGCACCAATCAAAAGTGGAGAAGGGAGGACCTTTCCATACTTCTAGAATTCTGTTCCATCTTAGTCCTCCGGAGAGAAGCAATAACCGAAACTGTAGTAAGGAAGACGCTTTCAAAGAACAACCTTTCTGTTCCACTTCAGCCTTCCAGAGAGAAGCAACCAATGAACTGGAAAAGGGAAGACACTTTCATGTAACAAAGTTCTCTGTCTATCCCGCAGATCGAAGCCGGCAAAGTGGATCTAGAGTGGGCGGATTTCGACCTGATCGGGGAGCTCGAGTCCTTGGTCGACATGTTCAGCGTGCAGTGCAACCAAAAGGGCATCGAAATCGGGCTCGATCTGGCCAAAAACATGCAGCGAGCGGTAAAAGGCGACCAAGCGCGGATCCGACAGGTGTTTGCGAACCTGCTGTCGAACGCCATCAAGTTTTCGTCCCAGGGGGGACAGATCGTAGTCAGGTAAGGCTTCGTTCCTGGAATTTGCAGCTCGGCTTGGAAGTCCGATCTCCTTTCTGTCGTTAATTGATTTGCAGCTCGCCTTCGAAGGCCTGTCCCCTTCTCAGGGTCGTTCACCCGTGTCCGGTTCTCAATGCTGTTTCTCCTTGTTGAAATCGTTTCAATCGACATCTGATCCAACGAAAGCGAAGGATATGCTTACACCACTCGAAGCTACAAAAACGCCCTGCCCACCAGCCCTCACGCGATCGATGTTGTTGTGTCAAAGCGGGTCTGGTTGTTGAGCGTCTTTGGGTCTTACTTGAAATTTTCTTAGAGTTGACACTTTTGACAGGAGTCGATGCTTTCGCCTAAAGTCGATGCTTTCGCCTAAAAACCAAGGACCCTTCCTGAAAATCGGTCAGAAGTCCGGCACGCGCTTGTTTAGTTGCTATTCAGCTGCACTTCGACGGAAAAGCTCTGAAAGTATTTGATGACTATGCTAGTTGGAACATTGCACTATCTGAGAAGAAGTGCCATGTTTGAGATGCTGTCGTTTTGTCTTGTCGATCCAGAAGAATCTCTACTTCTTCCAAAGCTCAGCCGATGAGGCCGGAAAGGAAAGATAGTAATTGGCCTCTAGACCCAGTGCACTGACTACTTTCCGCTTCGCTAATCTTCAGGGGCCGGCCCGTCGAAGACTCACCGCCCTCCAGACCCGACTCCGATTCCGCCCTCCTGGTCTCTTCCGCCGGACCCACCTTCTTCCGCCGGATGTTCCGACGGAGGGTGTCAAGCCGTGGCGAATCGGACCCCCCGCAGCAGTGGCGGGAGAAGCTTCGCTACGCGTTTGAAGTGGACGATACGGGGCTCGGCATCCCCCCCGAAAAGAGAGAGCTCGTGTTCGAGAACTTTGTCCAAGCGGACTCGTCAACGACGAGAACGCATGGGGGGACGGGCCTGGGTCTAGGTATCGTGCGGTCTCTTGGTGAGTTCTTGTTCGGATCGCTGGCGTTGTTTTCCATTTGTCTACCTTACAAAGCATTACTGCTGCTCAAGCGGTCAGTGAATCTCGTCACGGACCTAGGACTCGGGATCGTGCGGTCTTTCATCAAGAATTGCTGTCGTCGATTGTATTTACCTCGTGTTTCCAGCGTCGTCGCTTCTTGAAGCCCATCAGCTTCTTCCTCGCCGTTTGCTGAATCTGTTTGGGGCTCCGTTCGCCATTCTTTCACCCTACTGAGATGTATCAACCCCTTGGGCGCGATATCTTCAAGACTTTGCGTTCATCTGCTAATCACGTTTAAGTGGAAAGCAAACCCCAATTGGAGCGTGCACCCACGACTTTCGCACCAGTCAAGCGGTCAGCGTCCAAACAAGAGGCGTGGTCAGAGATGGAAGAGAATTGGATGCGCTATCCTTCACTTCGGACTAGCTTATGTTTCTTCTGCGCACTTGGTATGATGGGCAGCAAGCTTTGCGTGAAATACAAGGAGCTGGTACACAGATGGGCTTCGCCGCGTGCTTTGGACTCTTTTCGGTCATGCTCTCAGCAACACCGCACGAATCATAACAGACCGGACCTTACCTGAGAGTCAAAACTCTCTGTTCTTGCCGTTTCCCCCCTCTTTCGCAGTCGGTATGCTGGGAGGTGAGATCCACGTGAAGAGACATGGCTTGACTGGGGACTCTGATGGGTTCACGTCTTATCAGATTAGATTGTCGTATTTACAGTGTTCGAAAACGTGTCCACAGAAATGCGATGTCTCTTACAGACACCAGCTATTTCTCCCCTCCGCAGTTGGTATGATGGGAGGTGAGATCCGCGTGAAAGACAAGGCCGGCCCCGGAACTTTGATGGGCTTTACCTTGTGCGCTGAGATCTTATCAGCAGTTGCTGTTGGCAATCCACTGAAGCATAACAAACCACACAGTGCCCCCATAATCTGAAAAGCAGGAAGCTGATATCGGTCGATTGCCCAGCTATTTCCCGCCCCTTTTCGCAGTTGGTATGATGGGCGGAGAAATCCGCGTGAAAGACAAGGCCGGCCCCGGTACTCTGATGGGCTTCACCGTGTGCTTTGAGCGCGCCTCGGAGGTGCGGCACTCCATGCGGTTCAACCCGGTAGACCTGCCCCTACGCACCACTTTCCCTCGGGGGACACGTGTCGTGCTGGGGATCCCAGGCGATCTGAGCCGTCAGATCGCGGCCAGGTGAGGAGGCAATACGTGCAAGTTTCATCTGAGCCGTTCGTTATTGGTTGAGCGAGAGCATTTGCGACGAATAAGCACTTCTAGTTTTCCATTGGAAAGGTTGGGCGGTTAAGCCGTCAGAGTTGCGACCAGATGAAGCAGCAACTTGCTGCGTGCTGTTGTTGTGTCATCTGAGCCGCCAGATCGCGTTCGGGGGAGGAAGCAGTCAACTTGTTGATGAGCTGTGGCCTCACCAACTCCATTGCAAAGGGCACAGGTATTATATGTTGTATAGATAGCGCTTTCGTGAATCTGGAACCTCGTTACAGTTCTCTTTCAAAAGAGGTAGCCTTTTGTAAGTTGTTCGGATTGCTCCTTATCTCTACCCAAAAGTCAGGGTCACCTTTTGAGATTCGTAATCTTTTCAAAGGTTTAGCTTGAAGCTCAACACCCACAGAAGCTTTGTTTGAATTCGGAGCTCAAGAAGGCACAGATTCTGAGGCCCCATCTGTCATATGCAGATTCATACGCGAGCACGGTTTGGAGGTTCGGGAAGCGCAGAACTGGTCCGGCTTGCTCGCCTCAATGAAGCGGTGTCAGGACGAGACCTTTGGCGAAAACCCGGAAAGGTTGACTCGGCGTTCCTCGGCCGCTGCCCCGGCGCTAGGAGGCATATGCCCTGACGTCAGGCCTCAGGAGAGCGTCGCGATCAACATGGACATTCTGGAAGCGGGCGAGGCGCATTCAAGTGGCGAAAATACAAGTGAGCTTTCCGCTATTTGCTTGTTGTCCCTTTTCTCGTTTTATCTTTGCACTTTCCGCTTTCCGCTTTCCGTGATGCTCTTTTGAGGCGGTTTTTGTCTGTTTTCTGCTTTCCGATTGGTGTTATTCTAACCCCTCCGGCTCAGCACTCTCCGAATACCAAACCATCTCTTACTTTCCGAACGCAAGTACTAATGAAATCATTTGTCATCATCATCTTGACTTTGGTACTCAGACCTACTCAGACAACGTCAAGACGTTTTAACAGCGAGGAGTGAGTTTCCTAAGCCTAAGCTACTGATCACTGGATCTGCTTCCCAGCCCATCCGCAGGAACCCCTGCGCTTTTGGTGGCCCTCGATATCAAGGCACCCCGCCGGATCAAGACGCTGAGGGCTTGGAGCGCAGTCTTGGGGCGAGGTTGCTTAGCAGAAGCTACTGATTACTGAATAGTATTTCCCCCTCTTTGCAGAGCCCCCCGCGCTTCTGAAGGTCCTCGATATCAAGGCACCCCGCCGGATCAAGACGCTCAAGGCTTGGACCGCGTCTTGGGGCGAGGTTGCTTAGCAGAAGCTACTGATTACTAAACAGCATTTCGCCTTCTTTGCAGACCCCCCCGCGCTTCTGGAGGTCCTCGAAATACAGGTCACCCCCCCGAATCGAGACGGTCAGCGGCTGGAGCGCTGTCTTGGGGCGAGGTTGCTTAGCAGAAGCTACTGATTACTGAACAGTATTTCGCCTTCTTTGCAGACCCCCCCGCGCTTCTGGAGGTCCTCGACATTCACGTCACCCCCCCAGACCAGGACGGTCAGCGGCGCTATCTTGAGCAAGGTTGCTTAAGCTATTGATCACTGAAGATTCTTTCTCCCTCTTTGCAGACCCCCCCGCGCTTCTGGAGGTCCTCGACATTCAGGTCACCCCCCCCGAATCGAGACGGTCAGGGGCTGGAGCGCTATCTTGCGCGAGTTTACTCAGCACAAGCTACTAGTTGCTAAATGTTTCTTCCCGTTCTTTGCAGAGGACCCGCCGCGCTTATGGTGGTCAGTGATAAGAAGGTCACCCCCCGAATAAGGATGACCAGGGGCTAGAGCGCTGTCCCGAGCGAGGACATGGTTTGATGCCAGCGCCCTGGACTAGCTCTAAGAGCACCTCAAGTTTGATTTGATGTTTCGAAAAGCAGTTGACTGTTTACTGAATATCCGCCCCCCCCCGCTTTGCAGGCCCCCCCGCGCTTTTGGTGGTCCTCGACATTCAGGTCACCCCCCCGGACCAGGACGGTCAGGGGCTGGAGCGCTGTCTCGAACAGCTAAAGAAAATTGCGCCTGGCGCTGTCATTGCTTGGCTCGTCTCCACGGAGACCCCCGCCTCCACGCGCCAGGTAGGAATGAATCTTCCGAAGATTGCTTCTTTGGTGGCCGATAAAGCAGAATCTGCCAGGAATCAGCAGGAGAATAGCGGAAGGTAACTGAAGTCAGCGGAACATGGTTGGAAACAGCGGAAAGAAACAAAGAACGGCGCTTCGTCCTTCGACCATTCGTTTCGAAGCTCCAAACATTGCCTCTGTGGTATCAGGAGAAGAAGGACAAGGAAGGAACATACTGGAGTAAGAGTGACATTCTTTCTGAGGGGTGCAAATGAAGAAGGCTTTCTTTGCTTGGCTGAGTCTGGGAGCACAGTTGGCTCTCTCGTTGGACGCCCAAACACGATCCCAAGACACAAATCCGTGTCGTGCTTTCATCTTCGAGTTGGGTCCACTGTTAGGTCAAGCAGATTGGGGCGGTAGAGTCGCACAATCGAGGGCGCTAAGCGTCGGATTGCTCTTTTCAGAAGGCGACCAAGTTACGCTCTTTAGTCAAGAAGCTTTTGATGCGGTCTCTCGTGGACGGCCGAGGTCGACGTCCACGTCAGCCAAGGAGTACGCACACCAAGAGGGCGGGAATTTTAAGTGCGTCAGCTCTACTTTACAGGTACTGACAGCGTGGTCTTCTGGCGTCGGCGCCCTGCTCCCCTCCTGAGTGCCTTGTGAGCAATGAGTAGTCACACCACGAGGGAGACTATTCACATTGCCGTTCGCAGGTACTGAAAGCATGGGGCAACGCTCTGCTAGCCTTCTGAGTGCCTCGTGAGTAACGAGTATTCACACCATGAGGGAGATTATTCACACTGCGTAAAGCTCATTCGCAGGTACTGAAAGCATGGGGCAACGCTCTGCTAGCCTCCTGAGTGCTTCGTGAGCAACGGGTAGTCACACCATGAGGGAGATTAGTTACACTGTGTGAATCTCTTTCGCAGGTACTGAGGCGTGGTCTCCTGGCTGTAGCACTTTCCTAGCCTCCTGAGTGCCACGTCAGCAACAATTATGTACACCTGAGGCGGTTATTCAAACCGCATTAATTGTTCTGCAGGTACTGAAAGCATTGTCTTCTGGCGGCCGCGCTCTGCTAGCCTCCTGATCGCAACGTCAGCACCAGATTGGACATAAGGGCGAGCATTTACAATACGTGAATTCCTATCTGCAGGTATTGAAAGCGTGGTCTCTTGGAGGCAGCGCTCAGCTAGCCCCATGAGTGTCAAGTCAGCAAGGATTGTTACAACAGTGGGGCGGATCTTTACACTGTGTGACCCGTTTCTCACAGGTATTGAAAGCGTGGTCTCCTGGGGGCAGCGCTCTGCTCGCCACCAAGCCCGTCTACTGGTCGCGCCTCCACTCCCTACTCGAAGCGATGTCAGAGCGGCTTGAGTCGCTCCGCTGGGGTGACGTCAGCGACCACGGAATTTCGCCAGAGGGCGCATTTACGCACCCCATCGGCCACGTGGGCAGGTATGCTGACGTGTCTGCTGACGTGGCGCCTAGCGAAACGGGTGCTGACAAGGACTGGAAGAAGAGCGGGAGGAGCCCCCGGGGTGGGGGGGAGGCGTATGATAAGGGCCGGGTGCATTTTGGGGATGGCGAGAACGGTTTGACACGTGAAGATGGTTCTGAAACGGCGCAGACGCCTCGCACGAATAGAACTCGTACGCAAACGGCACAGGCCGAGAGTCAGCTTCGAGAGCCTATCAGCGAAGGCGTCGAGAAGGTACTAACACCAGGGGGTGTATTAACACCCGGGGGGCAACTAACACTAGGCAGGGAATTAACACCGGAGAAGAAAGTAACACCAGGAAAGGCAAAGTCTGAGGGGATCCCTCCGGCGGCCGCGAAAAAGGAGCGCAAGTCGGCCAAGGCGGAGTTACAGGAGCTCGGTCCTGCACTGGCGGGAATGAAGGTCCTGGTTGCAGAAGACACGCCCATTCTGCAGGTGAATTTCACGAGGGCTCTTTCACTCCCTTTTCCGTCTGCTCTTTTCGATCTTGTTTTCGATCCGCTGTTCCGAAGACACCACTTTTGGCAAGTGACAAGTGCTTCAAGCTTCGTATTCCTGACAAACGAACGCTCACTTTCCTGGTGACTTCAACGGAAGATCTGCTCTCCATTTCCGTTTTGCTTTTCTTTCTTTGTTGTCTGTTTCCACTGTTCGAGAAGAGGCCCCTTTCTGCATTTACGGTTCACGGGTCTTTCCTCTGAGATCCATGGCCATTCTTTTTCTTGTAGCTTTTCGAGTTGGGGAAGAGACCCAATTCGAAAGGAAGGACTGACTTGATTTTGCCAAACCGCATGCATCTCACTATCTTGCCTTTTTCAGTATCGCTTGTTGACTCTTCGTTGGCGTGGCCACCTGTTGGATGCTACTCGGACACAAGCGGACGAGCACTTTAGGAGGTTACCAGCAGTTAACTCCCTCTCTTTATACGAAGAACAAAAAACAGTCCGCCTGAACCATATTGATCAAGCGAGTATGATTTTCGGATGCGGAGGCTTTTGTCAGCTGGTCTATCGGAAAGACGTCCTTCTGGCAATACTTCTAAGCAGAATACAAGAGACATGTAGGGCTCTCTCGAATGCCCCTGCTCGAGGATCCTAGAAATGGGAGCGTTTTCATATGAAAGCGCTACATTTTTGGACTACGTTTCCTGCAGAAACTCGCGGTCGCCATGCTTCAGCGGCTGGGCGCCGAAGTGACGGCCGTAAGCGACGGTCAGCAAGCCGTGGACATGTTCACGAAGCACTACGCTCCTGGCGGAAACGGAACGACGGAACCGGAACTTCTCTTTACTTGCGTGCTCATGGACTGTCAGGTCAGCTCCTCTTTGCCTCTTGTGTGACTGTGGGCGTTGCCGCGTCTCCGATCATGCTCCAGAGTGCACAATTCTGAAAAGATCTCGGAGATATAATTAGCTCTTTCCAGAACATTGTGGCTCTATCGTGCTCGGCTGCATCACGACCCGGCGCTTTCGATGCACTGCAGTTGCATCAAGTTTGGCGGTCTACAATTGTTGGAGTCTAAACTTGAGATGCCTTTTTTTCTCTACACAGATGCCAATAATGGACGGTTATGATACGACAAGAGCCATCCGCCGGATTGAGCTCGCATCCGGCCATCACACTCCGATCGTGGCGCTGACGGCACACGCCATGGCGTCGGACCAGAACAAGTGCTTGGATGCCGGCATGGATAAGTATCTGAGCAAACCGATAAACCCGACGCTCCTTGTCTCCACGTTGCAATCCATTGCGCATTGGCCGTCAACGTTGGACTAGGCAGACAGGGGCTCGTTGGTCACTTGACCATGGGCATAACGCTGCTGTGCTTCATGTGGAAGCTACAGTAAGATAAAACGTTGCCTTAAACTTTAGTTGCTTTGGGTTGACTGTCACGATGTATAGCATCGACAGTGCAGAGCATCGTTGCATAGCGTATTGCAGGATTGCATAGCTTACGAGCTGACATTCGATAGCTTATAGCAGACGTTGCATAGCTTACGAGCTGTGGTTTGAGAGACGCGGTTAGCTG